GTCATCGAGTGCCGCCGAAGGACTGTTCCAATCTCCAGCATACTTGGAATTCCACCGAGGCCACATCCTTGGTTTGGGGGTAATTTCGAGGCTGCACATGGGTAGACTTTGCGTCCTTCAAATCCCCACAATGCTTTGCGCACGGACCAATTTCAAAAACCCTTGCGGAGAATTGCTGAACCGACCAGCACACATTTAAATGTAAGTATGTAGTGGCGTAGAACATGTGTTGGTAAATATGTTACTTTGTTGCATTTGTTATCACCAAAAATGTGTTCCGTGAAAGTAAAGCAAGTTCATAATTAGATAGACATCGACATGGTATTTATTTTCGGGACAGTTTATGTTGAAACCGTTAAAGAGAGTGGCACACTTGTTAGCCTGTTCCATTCTTCTTTGTTTTCCGAAGCCGTGGCTTGGAAGTATACTTGCTTCGTTTCTGAAGGAAGTGACTTGGAAGTATGCGACTACCAAGCCAGTATCCTCGCGATTGAGAAACGGCCCATGTGCAGCCTCGAAATTACCCCCAAACCAAGGACGCGGCCTCCGTGGAATTCCAAGTATGCTGGAGTTTGGAACAGTCCTTCGGCGGCACTCGATGACGTAGTATCCTTGAAATATTGGCTTGGAAGCCAGTTTCCTCGCGATTGAGAAAAGGCCTTTACCCCCGACACACCAGGAGGATGCGCAGTGCCGGGCCGGGCCAGCAGCAGCAGCATCGACGCAGCATCACACGTAGCCCACTTCACGCACACTGATGAACGGAGGCAGAGCCCCTGTCGAGGAGGATGCTCTCACCGGCTCAGAAGGGCTTTCTTTCGGGGTTCATTTACCAGGCAGCAGCGGTTTGCTCGTCGGTGCTGGTGTAAAATGCACTGGGGCAGAGCGGGAGTGCTGGTCGGCCTAGCTGATCTCAGCCGCTCGGCAAATGTTTCCCCAGTTTTATTCTAGTAGGCTACATCTTGATTAAAGCGTTATTATTTCCAGGTCAGAATCTCAGTTTCCTGTGCGGCTTGTTTCTACTGAAAATGGCCGGAGATGGCGGCGCTCTGAAGGATATCAATGAGATTAAATCCCAGTTCCGGACCAGAGAGGGCTTCTACAAGCTGCTCACCCTCTCGGACTCGCAGCAGCGGGGCGGGCTGCCGCGGGGTCCCTCAGCCGGAGCCACGCTGGGCCCCGGGGCTGGACCCGGTCCGATACCCGGCGGAGGGGTCGGGCTGCTGCAGGGGCCCGGGGCTGCCGCCGCTTCCTCCTCCAATGCTGCAGCCAACTCCTCTCCAGCGGGCTTCCTGCCTCCGGTCCGGGTCTCCATGGTGAAGCTGCAGCCCGAAGACCCGGGCGAGGAGTCGGAGCGGGTGTGCTTCAACATCGGCAGGGAGCTGTATTTCTACACGTACACCAACATCAAGAAGGTGAGCCTGCTCTCCTCCGCTGTGAGCCCGGATGAGAGGCTGGATGCTCAGGTTTAGCTTAGCATGCTAGTCTGCTCTGCTAATATGATGCTCATTACATTATTGTTTTTAAACCGACGCTCTTTGGCTGCTCGTGCTGCACAGAGGAGGCATCGTGCACATATGAAGTCTCCTTTAATGTACATGCAATGCGACGTGATAGTGTGTGTGAACACAGGGGATGGTGCATGATGCAGTGTCAGTGGAGGCTCCAGTGTAACTTACTACACACAGGAAGCTCTGACTTCACTCCCATTCACATGAAGCCATGTGAATCTCTCCACTGCATTCTGAATGTTGTATGTAGGCCTATACTCTATACATTCACTTTATTCTAGTATTGAGTAAGTATTCATACTTAGACTTCTTAATTATCATCTCAGATACACATTTACAGCCTACTTACTCCACAAATGTGTCTGATAGCTGATTACAGTGGTTCATTCCCTTCCTGTCCAGGGAAGAAAAATATGTAGCGTTTCTGCAGATTCAACTACCAAACAGTATATTTACAAAAGTCAAGATAAGCAAAACATCTGCAGCTGTAAAATATAAATTATACACATTAACACAGCAGTTATATTTATACAAAAATATAACATATAATATATGCTAACATAGGATTTTACTGCATATTGAATACTTTTACTTCTCATAGATTAAGTACATTTAGCAAATAGTGCGTTCTTTTACTTCTAGTTGATTATTTTGATGGTGTTGTATTCGTACTTTTATCAAATCAAAGGATATTTACACTTCTTCCATCAATGTCCTAATGTTAAAGAGATATACTGTAAGAATATGCAGTTTCCAGCACATGGTTTACACTATTGATGATAATAATAATAATAATAATAACTTTTATTTATATAGCGCTTTTCAATAACCCAAAGTCGCTTACAAAAAAAATTAAAAGTACAGAAAGGGGGTGAACAGGCAGAAGACAACATATTGGACAAGAAAATTGAACATGAACATTACATGAACAGGCAAAGGACAACACAGGGGGGGAGCAAGCATAGGACAACGAGCAAAAGACAACATAATGGAAAAGAGGAAAGAAAAAGTTGATGAATGTATGAATAAGAGATGCAGCGTGGGGTGAATAAGAGATACAGCGTGGGGTGTGAGTGAAGTCAGTGGGTTGGGGGGTAGGGTAAGTTGAAGGCTTGGGAGAAGAGGTATGTTTTCAGCTGGGTTTTGAAGGTAGACAGTGTGGGAGAGTGGCGGACAGATTGGGGGAGGGAGTTCCAGAGGCGTGTTGCCAAATGTTTTGAGTCTTGATGGTGGTACTGTGAGGGAGAGAGTGGAGGAGGATCGGAGGGCTCGGGGGGGG